TTTCGGCCCACGCTAATGTACATGCATCTCTTAATAATCTCAATAGTGCTATTGATCCGCATAAGTAGAACACACCACATTCGCATGATGAGAACAGAAGCTGATAGAATCTATCGAAGGAAGCACGACAAATTTTCTCTCCACTTGAAATCTTCACTTAAGAAAACCAAAAAAAAAAAAAAAAAAAAAGCAATTATGTTATGTTCCATCTTTAATTATTAACTCATACAAAGCTAAGTGTATGTACATACTAATACAAGATCATAATCGACCTCTTTAATATTTGAATTTAAACATTCCAAAAAAAAAAAAAAAAGTGGACTAACTTTTTCGGTTTATGTTCTGGGGACTTAAACGTTAATATCTGATAAATACATAAAACACAAGTGGGTTTTAAATATCTGCAAAATATTTGCTGACCTAAAAATATAGAGGGGACAACAGAAATCTTTGGCAAGCATAAGATAACGGGAACCTTAAATAATACATACTTCAAGATTAGATATTATCTTGCGATAACACCACCAGCAAAAAGTCTGTTTACAATATAACTAACTAATACAAAACGCATGATTTGTATGGATATACTGCATGCTACATTACCGCCAAAGGCAAACATTACTCGCAGATCTGTCGTTGTCATGTATTTATTTATGTATGTACCTTTTTCTGTTCTCATTCTGATAAGCGCGGTGAGCCAAAGTCAGCTGCGAAGCAAACAAATACCAGCAACTTACGGCTTCGGCTTCAAGCATTGTCATCAGCAATTTTACTATACAATTCAACTGATAAGCTTGGCACAAACAAAATATATATGTACATAAGTATGTAGTACATACGTTTGTATTTATAAAAAAAAATTCCGAAATACATTTTATTGGCTTATCTCTGGCGAATACGTTGCTCGTCTTTACTCAATTAAATATTTCTGTATTTTTCTTTCGTGTGACAATGGAAATGTGCAGATAATTAGAGGATCAATTGAATAGGTGATAGAAAATTATTAGAAGATAAACATATGTATGTATGCAAAGATATGCATTGACTTAAATTGTAATAAATAATACGTTAAAATTACTTTTTTAAAAATGTTAAAGGAGTTCGAGGTTTATGGTAAATTGTAGTAGGTATTAATATTAGGAATCTATGTATTTGATTTGTGATCTGGCTCATCGACCACACAAGCAATACAATTTATTTGTTTTTGATTCGTTGGACAAATAAAAAATTAAATTTATTTGTGATTTAATTCTTCTTTTGCTCGGCCAATCATAGTATGTGCAAATAAAATTTAGTTTATATTTCGACGATATGTTCAAGCTTAGAAAAGAGTGTCGCTGAGATGATCTAGTGATGCCAATGAGGCAGGGCATCTCTCTGCAATTCCCGATCTCAAACACGTTTGGGTATAACTAGGCAGTCATAGTCAGTCAGATGAAATAACTAACTGATCTGTAGGTTTTATCCAGTACGGTCCAGTGAAGATATTCTACAACTAGCAGGCCAGTTTTGAACCAAATTCCAGTACGCCTGCAAAAGTTAGGAACGCATCTTTAATTACAGTTGCTATTAGCGTGGGAACGCACCCGACAGCTGCTCCTCTACAAAGTCTCAAGCAGACAGTTAACGACCCAAATAAGTGGTGGTAGAATTCCATGCTATGGGATAGCCGTACTCAATGTCCTCTGAATGGAGAGTTTGACCCACTTTGAGTAGCAGTTCTGCAACAAAGCCTGCGATGAATTAATTTGACAGAGCCTGCCTGTCAATTGAGTTTATTTAGGAAGATTATGAAAGCCCTGGTGAGAAGGTGGTCCCGATATCCACCCGAACTAAGTGTAAAGCTGCTTCGACCGAGATGCGCCTGGTGATTTAAGCACAAACGTTTCCTGGGAAGTTTTAAGGGCAACGAGGAGAGATTAAATTCCCTGAAATTCCTAGAGAGGCTTTAACTGCATTATATACGAAAGTATTTAACTCTGTTTCGAATATATTTACTTAGTTATTTAACTTTGATTTGTTTTTGTGAAAAACTATGTATTGTACATATTATAATATTCTTGGCTACGGGCATGCTAGTGTTTATATCCATGGTTTTGCCAGTTCGAAGAAAGAAATCAACTGCGCTCAAAACACTGTACTTAACTTTATATGTACACTGAGTAAAGAGTTTAGTTCAGGAATCGTAATGGCTATAACAAAAATCATAATTTAACCGTTAAAATTGGATTTCTATTTTTACGATCAAATTTAACCGTTATTTTTTATTTTTGTTTTTCGATCATATTATAAACATTGTTTTCAGGTTAGGTTAAGGTCTTAGACCATAAAAAATTTAAAGCGGTGCTAAAAACGTAGTCTCCATCATAACTGTTAAAACTTGTCGAAAAAAATAAAAATCCAAAATAACGACTTTCTTTTATCGAAAATCACAAAATAACGATTAAATTTGATCGAAAATATACAAATTCAAATTCATCGATTATTCTTTATAAAAAAATAAAAAAATAAAAAACTGAGGATTATTTAAAAATAAAACTCTACAAAGAAATGTAATGGTTACTTGCAGGCTCTGATTTAGTTATGTCAACTAAATATAATATTTAAGATTTAGTAACTATATGTATATAACCCAATCATGTGTTGAGAGAAATATATTGAGTTAAAGTAACTTTACTCTTTTCTCAGTGTACGTTTTGCATACTTAGATATTATTAGAAAGGCATGGGGGCATTGAAAGCTGTGAGGCGTATTTATCCAAGAGAATTTAGACACAACGCGAAATATTAAAGTTACACACCAACAAACTAAACTTGAAATAAAATAAGCGAAAAGTGTTGACCGAACGACACGTGGGTGGGTGTATCCCATAGATATTTTTAAATATTACTTAGAACATTGGAAACTAAATGCAAGTGCATAGTCGTACTACACACAGTGGGGCAAATGAATGTTGTCGTGGGCAAATCAGTCAACAAGTGTCAATCTCAATCCGACTAAATAATTTTTATGTTTTTTTAATAGGTAAATGCGTTGCGATTCCTTATCAATCGGTTAGTTCCGGTTTTTGAAAAGAGATTGAATTATTTTTACAATTAAGTCTTTTGAATAGTACACCGATTTATAAGGAATTTCGTCAGATTTTATTCAAAGAAAAAATTTAAATCGGTTAAAAATTGTTGACCACCGCCTTTATTTGCCCCGCTGTGCGACTCTTCAAACTAATTAAATATACATATACATATAGGGGATTCACAAGACGTGTTAACCGTCGTAAAATCTTAAGGTTAACATCTTTTTTAATTAAAATGGTTTTAGGGGATTTCTAACTAAACCGAAATTCTTTTAAACTGATAAAGAATATATAATTAGCCAACCCCCCAACCATTTTAACCGCTATTTTACATAAACAAGTGTTAAGCTTAAGATTTTACGACGGTTAACACGTCTTGTGAATCCCCTAATATAGTACGAGCATTTGAATGTATACGGGTGTATAAATTTAATATTTGTTTGCATGCCAAATATTTGTATTTGCCATTCGCGCCGATACTTTTTGTTAGTTTTTTTGGAAGAACTGCGTATCCAATTTTTCGTATGCGTCTTATTGTGGCGCTTCAAGTAGGCAACTACTTGGCTTAATACAGCCTACTGGGGTGCAACAGGATGGCAGTCACTTGGCTATTGCGGTCGTCCAACCCGGTGCTGATACTCCACTACAATTATCAATTGCAAAAATGCAAAAAGAAAAACATTGCTGTCTTGGAAATGTATGTACGTACTTTGGAATAAAGTCCATTAGAATGATCGGATCGGAATCGGATTAACACGAAAGTCTTATCTATGGTTATTATAAAGTCAATACTACAAATTTTTACAGTAAAGTTTTTTGTTTATAGGTGGAAAAAGTGTAGTAATTTTTGGTAGGCATTGAAATTTATTAAACGCTAAACATTTATGCGAATATTTGAGCATGAATTTTTATGTACATATATTCGTCATACACAAACATATGTATGTACATTAGGGTGGTCCAAAAATGCATGCGGCGAGGAAAAAAGTTCAAAATGTTAAGCTCCCACCAAGGCCAAGGCCAGCCAAGGATTTTTGAAATGGCAAAAAAATGTATTTAAAAAAAATTATATTTAAATTGCCTCAAAGCCCATGAAGTTCTCCATGTATTTTATATGGGGAATAAAACTTTTTCGTAGAAATGGTATATTATCGGTGTCTGCCCAGCCTACAACGCATCTCGTTTGGATAGCTTCGGTGAAAAAGTTTTGGACCTGGCAAGAGTGATAAACATTTTAAATGGCGGTGATTACGAAGCGTTGTACAAATATTTGCAAAACAGCATTAAATATAGGGATTTTATTATTAATGAATTTGCGTAAGTAGTTTATGTTAACTTAATATGTTAGTTCTAGTGTGGCACTCAACAATATTAGTTACTGCCATAATTTTTAATTTATTTTTAAATTCCATAATATGTGCGTATAAGGTTGTAAATGTGTGTATTCGAATTGCTAAAAATATAAATATACTACTACTACTACTAATTCTGGAAATCAATATTTTTCGATCGGAAAACTTTTTTCTCTTCAGGAAACTCCCTTCGATAATTCTCAATTATTTAATTAACCATTTTTTCATAGTAACAATATTTTATAGGTCCGCCAAAAACCCTAGAAAATGTAATGGGGGTGAGAGCTTAACATTTTTACCTTTTTTTTGGACGTCCCTAATGCACATACATACATACATATACGTATGCACGCCCTTTGTCGCTATCGGAAAGTGCTAAAAAAAAATCATTTTTTATGCTTTAGGTTTGGCAAGTACATTTTTTTTTATTTTTGAGTTATTCGCATACATACATACATACATAAATATATACTTGGAGGATGATACCATTCTAAAATTTAAATTTTTTCTTCTAATTATAATTGGTGTTACGCTTGTAAGCGGCAATAAAACGCAGAACTATGTACTAAGCTTACCAAGTTTGGCCATCAAATCTTCGAGTACATAATCCACAGCCATGTTTTTGCGATTTTTAATTTATATTTCGCTATTTATTTTGAAGTTTTCTGCAGCGCTGTATAGTATCTTTTTTAAAATAAGAAAATAATTTATACGGAAAAAATATTTAATTAGGTAAACCGTGTTTAAAAAATTCACTTTTAAGAAATAATTTTTTTTTTTTCAGAAATAACGCAATGAGCTGTTCATATTTGTATGTATTCGAAAAACGTTTTTTTTTTTTTTTGCTTTAGATGGATGCAAAAAAGCAATCAAATTTCACCTACAAATCAGCGAAGGCGGCGCGACACATTTGCAAAAAAAAAAAACTTGTCTAACCACTTTTACAAACAATAAGAGATTAGCAAACGAAATGACCGAAATAAAAAGCTAATGCTTGAATGAACTGAAGAAGAGTAAAGCAACGCAATCTAAGCGCTAAATTATGGATTTTGTTTTGCATTAATTGCTTTTATAAAATTTATTTATCAAAATATTGATTTTTTCTAACACTTTTGTTTTTAGGAGTATAATTTTTAGGCAAATTATTATTTTCACTCCTCAAGCAACACTGCACACCGCAAAACAAAAACCATATTAGTAAAAATACCGACCACGTTGAGTTCAGCGCGCGTGTGCCATTAAATAATGTATGTACGTCGGCACGCTAACCACATTAGCACACCACACCAGTCAGCACCGCAATGAAACTGCGTACGCGCGGCGACACCGCTCAGAGTTAGACCCCAACGGCAAACGCCGAGTGGCAACAAAAATTAATGCAGAAGCTCCCGCCTCGTAGTCGCTGAGTAAACGCCGCAAAATATGTACAATATTGTTGGTGCGTCGCATTATGCCGCGCATATGGCTAAAAAGTGCAAAAGGCCACCACGCTCACCGGCTAAGGCGGGCTGAGCTGGCTCACCAAGTGGGCCACAGAGCGCATCGCGCATCTCTCTCTCTATCTACCTCTCTTGTCGCATTTTTGCTGCTGGAGACGCTAGCCAACCGGTGCCGCTACTCAAGCCGCGGCGGCAATAGCGGCGCGTTGGTGCTAACAGTTGTTGGTGTCAATAATGAAGGCAGTACGCTAGGCTTTTGGAGCGCCATTTCTTGCTCTTTTTATACCCGAGCGCACTTGTGCACAAGGGTATTATAACTTTGTTCACATAACGGTTGTTTGTAACAGGCAAAACGAATCGAGATAGATATAGACAAATGTATACATAAATGATCAGAATGAAAAGAGAAATCGATTAAGCGGTGACTGTCTGTCCGTCCGTCCGTCCGTCCGTCCGTCCGTCTGTGCACACGATAACTCGAGTAAAAATTGAGATATCTTAACGAAACTTGGTACGTGGACTTCTTTTGGGCGTAGGACGGATGGTATTGAAAATGGGCGAAATCGGACAATAACCACGCCTACCTCCCATATAACGGTAATTTTCAGAAATACGAAAAGTGCGATATTTTAGTAACTACTGAAGATAATTCACTCAAAATTGATATTTACAATGAGTTTTAGACGAAAAATAAGAATATTAAAAAATTTTGGCAAATGGGCGTAGCCACGCCTACTTATGGTTACATGTGTATATCTTGGTAACCGCTGCACCAATTTCTTCCAAACTTGGCACAGTTGTTGGTCCTGCTACAACATACCAAATGACCGAAAATTTCTAAAATCGGACAATAACCATGCCCACATCGTATATAACGGTAATTTAGAAAAATACGAAATAGTCGATAAATCAGTAAATATTAAAGCTACTTTATTCAAAATTGGTGGTTGCAACAATTTTTTACCAAGAAATACGCTTATGATACAATTTTGGAAAATGGGCGTGGCACCGCCCACTTATGATCACATATATGTATCTCGGTAACCGTTCTACCAATTTGTACCAAACTCGGTATGGTTATTGTGCTTGCCACATAAAAGCAAAGCGTTGAAAATTATTGAAATCGGACTAAAATTACGACCGCTTTTCATATAACGGTATATTTCAGAAATGCTTGAAACTGCAATATTTCGAAATTTAAGGACGCTAATTTACTTAAAATTTATACACCCCGGCTTATCGTGTAGCGGTAGCTTTCGGAAAGGTGGAAAACATATATTTAATAATTGCGCCGGGTATTTAATGTCCGGCTCCGCCCGAACTTAGACTTTCTTACTTGTTTTTTGCTAATTTTATCGCGTTAAAGTGTGGTGAGTGAACTAATTCCTTCGTTTTGTTTCTACAACAGCTAATCAGTGTTTATAAGTACTTGTAAAAAAACTAATCATGTTTAGAATATCCGGCTGTGATTAGAAATTTCTTTTGATAAGTTTTGGTTTTCAGTTTGCTCGCTCGAACTTCACAAAGTCATGCGCCTGCAATCACATTAATACTAACACAATTTATTGAAGCTAGATTAAGATAAAATTTACCATAAGCGAATACACATCACTGATAATGTCGTCTTAGGAACATTATTTGTTATTATATCTCTGCGATGGTAATCGAAAAATGGGGTACAGGGCGTATAAGTAACCTGTGAAATATTTAAGAGCTGTCGTCAATTTATTTGGGAACTCAGCCAAACTATGCTCGGATGTTAGTATCCATTCACTCTAGGAGGACTTTACATCTACTGTATCAGAATTCTTGTTTGGTAACCGTTTCATGACTTTAGTCGAGCTGAAGAATATAGCACGTCTCTCTTCTGTGCCGACCAAGGCACAGTGATGCAAAACTGGCAATGTTCATATTCCACTGAAGCCTTAATTATTCAACCGATTCGATAAATTTCTCTTAAAATGAAAGGTTATGAAATTTACAAGAGGCCAGTTGAGTCTGAATTTGTATTTTCGGGTGTTGAATTTTTTAGTGCAAAGTGCAGAAAGGCCGTAAGTTTAAAGAAAATCGATTCTCCTGTTCCACTTAATAAATGTTACACAATAAAAACAAGTTGAAAACAATTTTAGAGTTCCCCCCAAAACGAAAAAAAGTTCCCCAAAAAACATTTGAAATGTTAAAAAAAAATATTGACCAAACTAAATATTTGTTTTAGTTTTTATAGAAGTTTTAGGTCTGCAGTTTTATACATCATAAAATTTTATTGTAATAAAGTGAAAGTTTGGGGTATCCAAATGATCTGAAAATAGCAGCAAATCATTGTAGTAGTTAACGAAAGAAATACTTATCAGCAGAAAGTATTCGATACTATATGGGTTCTGATAATTAACCCACCATTTCGGCTAGCGAATTTAGTAGATTCCCAAATAACATTTGTCTATATCTAGAGCTGTCCAAAAATTTAAGAATGATTCGGCCTGGCTTAAATTTTGGAAGTCTGTGGTCGAATAATTACTCAGCTGGAATCAAAGTTCATAGAATACAGGTTCGAAAAAAAAATAAAACGATGGCTTTTTCAAAGTGAAACTTGGTAATCGAATTTGAAAATGTTCGCGTTAAATATTTAACGCCAAGGTGAAGAGTGAACGCTAGTATCTATACTTTTTTTTATTCCAAAAATGCATCCTTAATACTGCTTTTATACGAAAAATTTTTTATTTTTTTTTTTTTGTTTTGTTGCGATCTAATAATGTACATTATTTTTTAATATTCCATTTATATTATAAAATAATAAAATACCGTTCTTATAAATGTTATGTACTATTTTTTGTTATATAAAGTTTAAATTTAAGATTTTTCAGAAAGTGGAGTTAATCGATGTGGCTCATATGTATGTACATTAGGGTGGTCCCTAAAAAATCAAATGAAGTCTTTTTTTNATACTATATGGGTTCTGATAATTAACCCACCATTTCGGCTAGCGAATTTAGTAGATTCCCAAATAACATTTGTCTATATCTAGAGCTGTCCAAAAATTTAAGAATGATTCGGCCTGGCTTAAATTTTGGAAGTCTGTGGTCGAATAATTACTCAGCTGGAATCAAAGTTCATAGAATACAGGTTCGAAAAAAAAATAAAACGATGGCTTTTTCAAAGTGAAACTTGGTAATCGAATTTGAAAATGTTCGCGTTAAATATTTAACGCCAAGCTGAAGAGTGAACGCTAGTATCTATACTTTTCTTTATTCCAAAAATGCATCCTTAATACTGCTTTTATACGAAAAAGTTATTATTTTTTGTTTTTCAACAAATCTGTTGCGATCTAATAATGTACTTTATTTTTTAATATTCCATTTATATTATAAAATAAAAAAATACCGTTCTTATAAATATTATGTACTATTGTATGTTATATAAAGTTTAAATTTAAGATTTTTCAGAAAGTGGAGTTAATCGATGTGGCTCATATGTATGTACATTAGGGTGGTCCCTAAAAAATCAAATGAAGTCTTTTTTTTGGTCTCACCCCCTCAATCGGTAATACTACCGTCACAGATATCACATATGTATAAGTTTTGGTCCCGATTGGAGTCGTTTAAGGCGTGTCGCAAAGTGGTCAAATATCAGATCTAAGGACTCAAAAAATTAAAATAATTTTTTTTTTTCATTTAATGCCCAAAATCGATACTACTAAAGTCGAGGATATCACATATAATTTTATAATCTGAAATTTGTATGCGATATTTTCGAAAATAGTAGCATCGACGTAGGCGTTTAGGATTAGGAAGTCTTATGTAAAAGTTTGCTTCCTTCATTTAAGGACCGACCTACTGTACATACGAAGATTATATAAGTACAAAAATAAAGATACAGCAGTGTTATGGCCGGAGACTAAAGATTCAAAGTAATTCAAATCCTTATTTTTTGCGTCTAGGCATACATATACTGCCTTATCCTGAGTTTCACATGAAAAAAAAATTCACCCGAAAATTTGTCATCCGCCCATAGTAAAATCATGGAAACCAAACGTGAAAAGTGAACCGGTTCGGGGAAAATGAAACTCTTAAAAAGGCTGAGTATGAAATATCGAATCGAGCTTCCCTTGATTCAGGTTCAGTACAATCTGGCATACATTTTTATAGACTACGTAAATCCAGCGACGAAAATATAAACATACATGCATATGTACATTAGGGTGGTCCATAATAAGCAAAGTCGGAATTTTAATGCTCTCACCCCCCGAGGCTTGTTCTATATCGAAAAAAGTATACCCCTATTTCTTATTTTGAAATCAAAATATATTTAGAGATCGCTCAAAGCGCTCAAAGTTTTCCATGTATTTTATATGGGAAAAAACCAACTTTTCGTGGGAATGTTATAGAATTCTTGAAAATAAATCTCTAGGGGTCTTGGCATACCTATAAAATATAGTTACTATGAAAATATGGTTAAAAAATAATTAGGTATTTTATTGGGAATCTCCTGAAGAGAATCTCCTGAAGAGCGACCTCTAAATATTTTTTGATTTCAAAATAAACTTGACTTTTTTTTACACGCATATTTGGACCAACTTAATGTACATATCGTTGCCTTAATATAGAAAGGCCCTATCTTACATCGTCGCTGAAATGCACAAAGCCATAACTAACTAAAATCTTTTATTGCATAAAACGATTTGGGGCCACATAATGCGATCAAATGCATCATAATCAATTAAAACGTAAATTTTCGATTTTTAGCTAGTTACGGCTTTTTGTACATCAGCGACGATGTCAGATAGGGCCTTTCTATATTAAGGCAACGATATATAAGTACCAGAGCTGTGTAATGATTGAATCAATTGAGTGTGCATTCTCATTTTTTTCGTTTCAAAAATGTGATTGTTTGATTTAAAAAATTTAACAACCACTCTTGAGATTG